AGACAGAAACATACATATACCTTGGCCAAGCTATAACACCGGGCAAACAAAATCAGTAAATGGAAATTGATAGGAGAATTAGACTAGGATGGGCAACTTACGGCAAATTAAAGTACATCTTCAGCATGAATATCCCAATGACTTTAAAATCAAAAGTCTATAACGAGTGTATACTGCCTGTTGTCACGTATGGTTGCGAGACCTGGGTAATAACCAGAAAAATTAAACATAAATGGCTGTGTATAGGCGTCCGAGCGCTCGGTTCCCTATCCTGGAGGATACGTATCCGATTGCTCGGCTCTCTAACAATATGCCATAGGATAGGATAGAAGTCCGAGAGTCGCACCTTATACCCAAAGACATCCTATACCTAACCTAGAATAATACTGTTTATTTTTTTTTTTCATCACTTGGTAAACTAACAGGAACCGGATGTTTGTGTTTTATGCAGATATAGGTCAGCTAATATCATTGTTTTACTTTTTTTTTCAAGGTATTTAGAGTTTTTCAGGATAGTTTGTCAGCTATTGTAAAGTCTGTTTTTTTTTTAAAGATAAAAATCAAATTGACATTATGTTGACAATACAATGTAAAATTGTCAATGCTTTCAAATTTTTTATATAGAAAAGGCTTGTGTTGCCAACATAATTACTAAATTTTTGACTTGGGGAATTATCTTAAAAAAAAAAACAGACAGAAGATATCTTGGTTTGGTATCTATGTATTTTTACTATCCATTTAGAATAACCCCATCCCTATTTATCAATCACGAATCAGATGAAACAAAAAATTACCAACAAAAACGAATGTCGATTGCTAATATGTCAAATTCATGTACAAATAGGAGATTTCTTACCTAATTTTATTTGTCTGTTCAAGAAGCAACATAAAGTCTGTTTTTTTTAAAGATAATGCCCCATGTCAAAAATTTAGTAACTATGTTGGCAACACAAGCCTTTTCTACATAAAAAAATTGAAAGCATTGATAATTTTACATTGTATTGCCAACATAATGTCATTTTGACTTTTATTTAAAAAAAAAAAACATATATACTTTACGTTTTGTTACTAGAACGACTGGTACTTCTAAATAGATATTAAAAATTCTTATAATTATTCTAATTTACTTTAAAATTGATGCAAAACTCGGGGCAAAATACAAGTAGTCCTTTGCAGAACTGGAAGATGCAGTAGAAAAATACAAACAACAAAATTTTGGGGAATTATGGAAAAGCTAGATGTAGAAAGGCTTGAAAGTGAAAGCGTGAAAAAAAAAAATGTCCAGAAATGGTAGTTACAGTTAACGAAAACCAAAAATATTATTCAATTAAATACACGTGTACGGAAAATCTAATAATTTTAAAAATTTCATAGTTTCAAAGTAAGGGTTTCAAGTTACAATAATTGTATAAGTTCGAAGTTGCAATAAGTGTCATTTCGAAGTAGAATTATTAGGGAGTTTTCGTTGCTTACAAAATGCGATTCCGGTTAACGCTATTTGACAACTTTGACATTCGAATCTCGTTTGTCGTATATCGTAACCGCTGAATGCCGGTGTTGTACGGACGGTAGACATAGCCGTTAACGTAGCGAAACGCATGCGCAGTACACAAATAAAAAAATTCATAACCTTGATTCAGGTGACAAGTTGTCAAGTTGACCCAAAACACACCCAAAAGCTTTCAAAAATGGGTACCGATATAAACTTGTACAGTGTAATATTGAAAATAATGGAGAGAAGCAGAAGAGTTCGTTTTATAGAAGAAGGTGACCAAATTTCAGTAACTTTTCATAACCACCTCAGAAAAATACAAATTCCTGGGATTTTATGTAGACGCTTTGTATTAAACTCGTTTGAAATTCTGAGTACTTTCTACAAATCTGAAGATATGGTTTTTTTCGAACCGAAAATAAACTTTACACTCGTTTGCTGACCATACATCTAGGTTGAACCTCCCCTAAAGATCGCCTCTGTATTTCATGTTGTTTTCCAACACTTCCAACAAGATTGCCTCTTCAAAATCAGAATCTGAATCATCCCTGGAGCCCAATAAAATCAATTCGTCTATCATTTTGTAGCAAAATGTACTCAAAAACAGTAGTACAATAATAAATCTATATGAGAACCAAACAAAAACCAAATTAAAACGAGGCTGGGGGGCTACGCTGTCAACTTTACTTGACTTTTTTTTGGGGTTATATTTATAGTTTACGGTAACGGTAAGCGGGTGCCGTTTCTTGCTCCGAAATTTAATTATTTACCATTTTATAGTTTTTAGATTTTTTTATTTTATGTTCATTAATGAGAATATTGTACTACAGTTTATAAAAAGATACCTATTTGAGATTGTGTTTTCTTTCAATACTCAAAAAATTTTATTTACACCTAAGTTTTGTTTTTGTCTTAAAACATAGACAAAACACAAACTCAATAGTCCGTTTAGTGGAAAACTGGCATAAGGTTCCGATCAGTCGGACCTGTATCTTTCAAAATATGGAATCGAGCGCTCGGACCTCTATATTGTTGGTCGATTTTTAACTGACACTTGCGGTATGAGGAGCGAGGGGGTGTTTCATATGGCAAAAACAGGTGTGACGTCAGGTAACTATTGGCGTTTTAATGTAGCGAGCCACCAGCTCACATTCCGTCCGAGTATCAGTCTCCGACATAATAAAAAAAATTGGTTTCCTAAAATGGCAATGCGCAGAACACGAAACCAGACATACATAAAACTGGAGCAAGTATATCACTAAATGGAGTTCTTGGGAAAAGAGGAGAAGTGTTGGAAGACCCCAACAAAGATAGTACGACGAGATAAAGAAGGTCGCAGGCTTAAATTGGTACCGAACTGCGCAAAACCGAAAACAATGGTCAAATTTGAAAGAGGCCAAGAGAAGAAGATACCAATGCAGCGTATGTGACCATGGGCTTTATTATAGTTTGTTAAATCCAGAATACCACCTTTACCTTTGGCTTTAGCCCCCATGTTTTACCAACCTGTTTGCGGCATGACCAGATGGCTGATATAGCTTTAGAACATATTTTCTCACACGGTTTGTTCCAAGTATGAGTGGTTGGTCCAGGGTGTCCCCAAGTATTTCACTTCGTTGGAAAATGTTAGTTGTATACCGTTAAGGAAGATCCCTGATATAGAAGAGGAAGAAATTGTTAAAGCGCTAAGCCAATTAAACAACCAGGAATGGAGGTGGCAGGAGAATACCTTGTAAAACAACCGAAAACTGTTTTCAATAAATGTGAAAGGGGAGAATAACACACGACTGGGAGACTGCCATCGTAGTTCTGATATACAAGAAAGGAGACCCATCAAATCTTGAAAACTATAGACCCATATGCCTCCTGTCTCAGATATACAAGTTGTTTATGAGAATAATCACCAACCACTTAGAAAGGAAATTCGCTGATTACCAACCTTAAGAACAAACAGGCTATAGAAAGAGCTACAGCACTATAGAACATCTTCACACAATAAGAATACTGAATGAAAAGACAACCAAATATAACATTAAAACATGGCTAATATTTATCGATTTTAGGAAAGACTACGACACTGTCGAATTCTGGGCGATAGAATGAGCTATGAGAAATAAACATAATCAAAAACATTCGAGAAGCAACAAAAATAAGATTGAGAATGCATGAAGATGCAAACGAAGTGAAGATCGAAAGAGGCGTAAGACAAGGCGATATAATATCACCTAAGCTGTTCACCCTAGTTCATGAAGAAGATCCAAGAAGCCAAGAAGATCGGATAAGAAATGAACGTATCAAAAACAGAATTTATGACAAATGAGCAAACAGCAAACACAATCTTGATAGAAAACCAACAGGTGAAAAAAGTAAACTCCTACAAGTATCTAGTGTTATAAGGACAGCAAATAACACTTGGCAAAGCCAATCAAGAGCTTGAAATGAATAGGAGAATACCACTGGGATGGGCAGCATAATAATATGGTAAAATGCGCCACATATTCCAATACAAGTTACTGTTGAAGCTGAAAACCAAAGTCTACAACGAATGTATTCTGCAAGTAGTTGCCTATGGATGCGAAACATGGACACTCACAAAGAAAAACTTATACAGGGCGTTCCGAAATTAATGCACCAAATTTTTATGGCATATTCTACGTCAAAAATAAGCCCTAGTTTCCTATATAAACATATGTCCGGAAATGCTTCCTTTCCGACATACAGGGGGTTAAGATTCTAAGAAAAAAACTATTTTTTTTATGTATACAAGTACCAGGTGATTGTCTATATTTTGCGCCCACACCTATCTCACCTATTTGAAGAGATACCCAAAAATGTCGCGTGTGCATGTTGTAGGTAATATCAGAAACTTTGCAATGAAATTAGTCTTATGTAGCATCAAGAGTTTGCTATAAGACTGTAAAGTGGAAGCAACAAGCTATCCAACGATGTGCCACACAAGGTCGGTTCACCCTAAGGGGTGAGGCGGAGCCACTCAAAGAGTGCCTCATTTTGGCTCCCCTTCCAATCCCCTGATACGTATTTGAGATCTTCCTGCGAGTATTTTTTGTCTAAGAGATATTCCCAGTTGCTACTTTTCAAATTGTCACCCTGTATGTATTTAATTTGAATGAAATATTTTCAAATATCGAATACTGCAGTCAAAGTTTACTGCAGTTTTGATCAGTGAAAAATATATTATAGAACAATGATCTATTAAAGTTGTACTGTAATTAATCATCTATTATATATATATATATATATATATATATATATATATATATATATCTGCTAGGGTACTATGTAGTAGTACCATGACTTATGTATACATTTTGAATTGTTTGTCATATGTTTCACATCAGTTGTTGTTGTTTTAACATTTTTATATCTGAGCTATAATTGCAAAAACAAATTTTGGAACTTCAAAAAACTATAAGTATATATTTTTTATATAACTCTCATTTTCCACAGTTGTCATTACTATTATAATCTATTTTCAAATATTTAATACCTTTTTTGGTGAGTTTCCACTATTAGACTCCCTCAGAGGCAAAACCTCATTGCCTTGCAACGATGATCTGCCTCCATTTTTACTGGGAGTAGGAGGACCCGGTTTCTTATAGGAAGTGGTACCGAAATCCTTTTTTTGTCGCGGTTTTTCTCCTGGTAGCAACCGACACGTCATGCTGTCATCGTTCTCCAGATCAATGGTGCCAGCCTTTTGAAAATAATAATCACTAATTTTGCGGTTCAACTGCATTTTCAACTCACCCTTATGTCTTCTTCTTTGCACTTTGATGGGGTCACTCCTTGTAATTCCACAGCATAAGCGGTACGTAAATGCATAGGAACCATGGAATTTCTTTTGGCCAGTTCAGATGCTCGCTCCAGATTTTCATGTTGAGGGTTGCAAATTCCTGCCTTCAAATCGGCCAGATATCTATCATTAAACATATCGTCTTCTTCATCCTCCATTTCAATATTTTGTCCTAAAAGAACATTTATAATTTATTTTCACTTCACAGCCATTATTTTAACTTACCCAAGCTGTTAATAGATGTTCTCCTTGTGAATGTTACAGTTTCTTCAACGAAGTTGTCCTTATTTTGAAAACGTGGTGGTAAAGTTGATGTTCTATTATCTCTGCTCATAGACGGTAAGTTTGAGGTACTTTTAACTTTATGCATAAAATTATCTCTAGAGCGTCCTGCAGTGATATTATCCCTCAATGATGAAGTACTGTCAGAGACTTTATTTCCCTTGCCTCTCAGGCTGGAAACACCTTGCCTTGGAAGAGATTCGCTGGAAAAAATAAAATAAAAATTACCTAGAGATCTATTTGCATAAATTTTTTAAAACTTACCGAGATAAATAAAAATTATCTTTTGCATTATTTATGCCCGAATCCACTTCAAATAGCTTATTCTTCAATTCCCTATTACTCTTTTCCAAATAAGCGACTCTTTCCTTTTCCACTGCCAATTCTCCATTCAATTTTTGCGTTTCCTTTATTATTTCTTCTCTGTACAACAAAAGCATTTTCTTTTTCATTTTATCCAGCTTATCCTCATATTCCAGTTTTATTTCTTGCACTTTTTTGTCTTTTTTCAATTCACCCTTTTCGATCTCCTTTCGAAGAAGATTCAAGAATTCTTCTCTGTCTCTCGATCTTTTCTGTTTCAGCGTTTTTATTTCTTGGTCATCTACCTCCTTCATGTTTTCGAGTTGTTGTACTTGACAATTGCGCTCTTCAATTTTTTTCCTCAAATTCACCATTTCAGTCTCGTCCTTTTTTATCCTTTTCAATAGCTCGTTTTTCTCTTCGATAGCTGTTTGATGCGCCCTTAAAATGCTCGCTTCAGTATCTTTCATGATTTCAGTTTGTGTTTTCAAAATATCGTTACGTTCCTTTTTGATTTTTTGAATTTCTTGTTGGCTGAGTTCGTATTTTTCATACATGGTGCATTGTTCTCTAAGTAATAATGCCTTTTCCGATTGGAACCTGAAAAAAACAATTTCATCATTGAAATGAATCAAACATCAGCCAATTGGATCGACGCTGTTTTTGAAGTTGTTTGCCTGTTTGATATTTAAAAACTGTTTGAATTCTTGAAATTCCTGCCACAAAAAACAATGTGATGGGAAATCCATCATGCTAGGAATAGCACCAAGTGAAAGCTCCGCCAATGTATCACCAATACAAGAACACACAGAACTACAGATGGAAAAATTACTTAAGGATTGGAAAAAATTCAATTCCACACGAATGAAAAGTTCAATGGCACCCCGATCTCAAGTAAGTACAGCCAAGGAATGGTAAGAAATGCTGCTAATGTGATCCACAGGAATCTGGCGCTAATTATCCTCAAAATAGGACAACTTGAGCAGGAAGAAATGACACTTGCACATACATTACAAATGAAATTGATGGATATGGTAAATGTTCTGAATACACATTTCCCTCAGGAAATTTACTAAAAAGCAGCTGATCCCAAACCAAAGGCATATTAGTAGAGTGCCCAACGCAGTTAAAGCCTTCTAAAAATGAGTTTTGTGGGTGCGTCGGGGTTACAAGCTGAAACTTGCACAGAATGAAGGTTTTATTATGCTAACTCAAAATCCCAAGGTAATACAAAATCAAAACGGGCAACAGGGCAGTATATTCAAAAATTGAGATTATTGCATGAACGTAGAGAATAGTAATTTATAACTGTTCTCATATAAAATTTATCTATATTTTTGTACAAATTATATTTTTAATATTGCTTCAAATAAGCTGAATACATTGACCCTTAACGGTGAAATAAATCTAAAAATTGAAATATCTCCGTTCAAACCTGAGCAAAATCTGATTGAAATATATTAATTTTTGCATTCACCGAAATGAAAGCTCAAATGCTTCATGTATCTAAAATATACATGTGCAAGAATTAAATATAAAAAAAGTAATTTTCTTCTAGCCGCGACAGCCCGCTCTCCCGCTGCACCAATACTCTTCCATCTCACTTTTCTCCGTAGCTCCCTTTCTCTCTCGCAAATTGTACAATACAATAAACCCTTTTATTTTTAACCATAAATGAAATGTTGTCATTACTGACTTTTCAAAAATTTGAAAATGTCACATTTCTGTCTTTTCATTTTCCTGCTCCATTACCTGTCCCAGGACGGGAAGTGAGGACGGGAAATTTTTTCCGTCCTCATTTCCCGTCCACGGACGGAAAATGGAGCAGGGAAATATTTCCCGTTCTCATTTTCCTCTTCATTTACCGACCTCATTTGGTTGCCCCGATTTTTTTTTTTCAAGAAATTATGGTTAAAAATAAAATAGTATACAACCCTCGACGGGAAACTTCATTGCTGTCTCGAGGTTCAGTTTATCTCGACGCTACGCGTCTCGATAAACTATAAAACCTCTCGACCAGTAATGAAGCATTTCCCGTCTCGGATTGTAATATACTATTACGTATCTCTTGAATTCTGATTTCAAAATATTCAAACCTCAACTGCTCAGTAACCGTTGAGCAATTTGCATCGAAACTTTCAGCATTTGTAGCCCTTATTAAGCTCTAAATGGCTTGTGATTTACAATATTCCCAGATTTATAGTTTTTGAGCAAATTGAATTTGAAGTTTTTGACAAAATTTGGACTGAAACGCAACTTAGGCCCATTGTCACAATGTTCAGTTAACCTTAAGATAAAGGTAACTTATACCCTAAGGTTACCATAAAAGTACCATTTCACCGAACTTTTATGACATCTGTTTAAGTTCACCGAAGGTTAAATTTTTTTTCTAGGGTTGGTAACGCGAATAATGCGTTCAGTATCCGTTTGCAGCAGTGGCCAGCCAGTGAAAGATAAAAAAAAGAATGTCATAATATGCCAACTTCCAACTTGTCATTATCAAAGAATGTGTGTCATCTGTGTCATGTATTCCTTTTGATTTGAAAAAAAAATCTTCAAGCCAGGTACCTCTATGCTTTGAATTATACTTGGGTGTTCCAAGTGTTAACAAGCAAGGAAATTTGAAGTTATTCAGATTGTTATTCAGTGATTTTTGGAATAATGCCAGCAGCATGCCAGCTGGCTTTTTTGAGTTAAAATAATTGTCTTCCAAACAACGCGTAGTATTTTATTACAATAACTGTTGCTGACCCAAGCGCAGTGGTAATATAGGTACAATCACAAGGTACAATTCCTGATTTTCTTCAGCACCACGAACAAGCACTACTATTGTTAATGACTTGAACTTTTGCAGCAGACTGCAAACTCAATAATCGCTCTTTTTTTTCAAATTTTAGTAGCTATTAATTAAATACCCCATCATCATTGTAGTCACTTCGTATGCGTTTATATTATTATCATATTCTTGTTTTAAAATATATGGATTTTTCATTAAAAAACATACAGTAGTTGTAGGTTACTTTTTGAGAAAACCCAAGGTGAACCCAAACATGGAGCGCTGGTAAAGTATACTGGCGGTTAACCAAAAGATTTTGGTATACCCAAGATTGTGGAATGAAATTTTACTGGTTAACCCTAATCCGTCAGACATCTTCTGGTCACCGGCGATTGTGATCATGGGCCTTAGAGGCTCAATTGCTCAAAAACTATTCGAGCTATCGAACTCAATTTTGCACAGATTTATAGAGAATTTAATGCTCTTTCCAATGGTATATTTCAAGTTGGTCAAAATTTACCAAAGATATGGGCAATGGTTCATGACCATGTCACGATTTTGAAAATTTTCCAAAGCCAAAAATAGGATTTTCTTTTTATTTTTGTGTCTGCTTAAAATGGCCATTGGGAATTAATATCAGGGTTGTTTTCCACTAATTTTGACCCGCTCTATCGATTCATCAAGTCAAAATTAAGCAAAACTAAAAAATAAAAAAATTGAATTTTTCATAAGGGTACACCCTTTGAATTCTGATTTCAAAATATTCAAACCTCAATTTTTCGGTAACCGTTGAGCAAATTGCACTAAAATTTCCAGAATTTGTAGCTTTTATTGAGTTCTAAATGGCCTGTAATTTACAATATTTCCAGATTTATAGTTTTTGAGCAAATTGAGTTTGAAATTTTTGACAAAATTTGGACTAAAAGTCAACTTTGAGGCTCAATTGCCCGAAAACTATTCGAGCTATCGAACTCAATTTTGCACAGATTTATAGAGAATTTAATGGTCTTTCCAATGGTATATAATTTATTTCAAGTTGGTCAAAATTTACCAAAGATATGGGCAATTGTTCATGACCATGTGAGGATTTTGGAAATTTTCCAGAGCCAAAAATAGGATTTTCTTTTTATTTTTATGTCTGCTTAAAATGGCCATTTGGAATTGATATCAGGGTTGTTTTCCACTAATTTTGACCCGCTCTATCGATTCATCAAGTCAAAATTAAGCAAAACTAAAAAATAAAAAAATTGAATAAATTAATATTCTATACTTTGAAGTAGTTCAAGTCCACAGACTTGTAAAGAAACGAAATTGCAGCTTTTTTTGGACTTTTATATTTGTACTAATCAATTGCCAACGTTTTGACACGGATGCATGTCATCCTCAGGGCTAGATTAATAATTGATACTGATACTCAGTATCAATTTGTAGCCTGTAACCATCGCACGGCTGGTTTGAATTTTTATATGTCCGTTGGAATTATGTATTTTTTATGTTTTTTAATTTCAAAAAACAAGCACCACAATTATTAATCTAGCCCTGAGGATGACGCGCATCCGTGTCGAAACGTTGGCAATTGATTAGTACAAATATAAAAGTCCAAAAAAGCTGCAATTTCGTTTCTTTAATATTCTATACGTTCATGCAATAATCTAAATTTTCAAATATAGTGCCCTTTTGCCCGTTCTGATTTTGTATTACCTTGAGATTTTGAATTAACATAATAAAACCTTCATTCTGTGAAAATTTCAGCTCGTAACTCCAACGCGCCCACAAAAGTCAAAATATACCGGGTGGGTCACGAAAAACTTTCCACCCAGGTTTTCACAGACATTAGGTGTTTAATCAAAAATCGCTCAGACACGTCAGTTTTTGTTTTTTGGGGGACACATTTTATTCGTATTTTCACCCCCTACCTGTGATCCCCATGTGGGGGTAACAGGTATCCCCAAAATTTCAAATAGAAAAAGGGTTCGAGTTATATGTCATTTGGTAGCTATTTTCATTGAGATTATATCCCCGAAGTTTTAAGTTGCTACTATTAACCCTGCCGAAATGGCGGCATGTCAAAGTTAGGATAAATGCTTTTTTCTCCAAACGTCAAAAAAACGCCACTTTGTTAACCTCTGTCAAGATGTCAGAAATTTAATTTCTATGCTGGTAGGCAAATCCAGCAGGTTAACACCCGTCGAGGTGGTAGAAATTTAATTTCTACGCTGCTTGGCAACCCCAGCGGCAGCAAAAGTACTTTTAGTGCCGCTCGTACTTTTACTGCCGCTTAACCATTCAGTTACTCCCGAGCTTACCCCATTTGTTTGGAGAAAAAATAGCGTGTTGCATACGGAGTAGAAGCACTTTTTTGTGCTTCAGCAGTATTGCAAGCCTCACTACGTTCGGCTCGCAAACCTACTGCTTCAGCACAAAAAAGTAAAGCTTCTACTCCTAATACAACAATATACTATTTTTCGATAATCTAAGCTGTATAGTTTTTACCTGTCACACCTATGCGTAGGTAACAGGTAAAAACCACATAGCATTTTTCCATTAATTTTTCCTAACTTTAACAAGCCGCCATTTCGACAGGGTAAATAGTAGCAACTTGAAACTTCGGGGATATAATCTTAATGTAGAGGGTGAAAATAGGGCAAGTACACGATCTGACAGTTTGACACTATTGACAGTCGCCTTGAGGTAAAACAACGATATAATTTACAGTGTTTTTTAAGTTTTTAGTTAGATTTTTTTCAATAAATACCTTTTGTGTGCTCCAGAAGTTTCTTAGACATGCCTAGAGTTTGTTTAGTTGTTAATTGTGGCAGTATAG